CAACAGTACATATAGAAGAAATAATGGAAATAAATAATGGCAATCATCATAAAAGTGGTTAATTAGTATGGGAATCATCAATAACACTAAGGCTAATGAGAAGAGGTTTGATTAAGATACTGGCACAGTGATGGACAATATCTCTACAAATACTTATCAATTACAAAGGGAAACAAATATTATCTTGTTAACATCACTACTAGTGACATGGTTTGACACTGTATGCCTCTGGATGCAATGCATCAAGAAGGGCACAGCACAATTTGTATGGTATTTCTAACAAGGAAAGCATCATCTGATTGGAGTCATAAAGAAACATTACACAGATCTAGAATAAAGATCATTCTACAGAATGCAGGCCCTGTATTTTATAAAATGGCCAAAGACATGAAAGACCAGGGAAAATTGAGGCTCAAGAAATTTAAAGAGTTATGACAACTAAATAGAAAATGTCTTTCTGTTGAGTTGTATTTTGGTTATACAACATAGTGCCTTGTTTTTAAGAAGTATACGCTGGCCTGCTTAAGGTTGATAAAATACACATTTGCAACATGCTCCAAAGGTTTTGGGAAAGACTGATAATCCAGGCACATATGCATGTATTATGGAGACAGGGCAGGCAATGGAAGAAATGCAGCAAAATATTAACAATGGAAGAAACTGGGTGAAGAGATTCTTTGCAGCAGTTCTTTATACTATGTACCATTTAAAATTTGAAATTATTTCAAACTGATGTTTTAAAAATCTGAAATAAAAATGTGATATAGAAAATTCGATGGTTCAGCAAATATGAATCAGTCATTGTCTGAAGCCAGGAAACAGAATGAAAGTTTTGGCTTAATATGCTTATTTACATGCCTTCTTTTACCATACTTGATGCATTAAAAAGGAAGACAATGTTTTTATGCCTACTTGGAGAACTAAGAGCATCTCAATGTTTTAAATGAATATTTTCTTCCTGAATTTTAAATGGGCATTTTACAGCTAAATGAGGAAGAGAATCCTGATTTGTTCATCAGTGTAGCCTCAGTCAGCAACTAACAAATTTATGATATGCTCATAATTCCTTGAATAGGAAGTCTACCACAAATAGACTACCACAAATATTATTCCAAATAGCAAAATACAGTGACTTAAAAATATCAAGGATTTTGGTACACTGAAAAGGCGAGACTGTTTAAATCAAGTTAAAATTACACACACACACGTCAAACTAAGAATAGAAAAATATCAAGCATTTTCTTTCTTAGGAACTTGAGAAGTATTAATTATCTGCTCTATATCCCTAAAAACAGCAAACTGTTAATAGTTTTTGGTTAAAAAAATTGGAATAAGATGTTTAATATACCAATGAGACTTCTGGAGATAGTGGAAGACCATGTTTAAAAAAAAAAAAAGAGTCTGGAAAAATTAGTAGAATTAACTGTATCAAACTGCTGATAAACACATATCCTACTGATAACAAATAAGTAAAATCATTTTCGAATTTGAAGGAATACATTGTCTTTACAGAAACCAAAACTCTCCCAGGCATTTAGATAGTTAGCCAAATTAAACTCTGAATTTTAAAAGCTGAACATATGTCACATGATTTTCCTAGAGAATAAACACATTTTAGTACATTTTATAGGCTCTTGGTTCCATTGTTGAACTTGAAAAAAAATTATGCATGGCTGAAGATCTATGTTATAGTTATACATAATGAACTTAAGAAGTATGTCTTTCCAAAGGTTTAAACAATAACTGAAAATTACATTTTGATATGTAATTATCTGTTTTAGAACATAAGAGATAATAATACTTTACGAAATTACGATTTGTCAATTTGAAGCAACATTAGAAAATTAAGAACTGTTACAAATCTATTAAAACTTCTTCCCCCCAAGGAGTGTAAGTCAAATCATTTCTAGCATATTACAAGTAAAAAAACATTCAGCAATACTATAAACCAAAATCTGTATGGCTTTCAAAAGAATATAAAATATTTTTAGGACTATTCCAAAAATAAAATAAAATAAATAAAAATTATCAGGACTGTCAAAAATTAAGCACTCAATGGGAGGCATTTATTATGTTTATTCTTATAGAAAGGATGCAATACAACCCTGTAAAAAGGTGAAGTGTCTTAAAAATCTATTAGAGAAATCTATAAAGACAGTTGGATAAAGTCAGCATAATATATCTACATTGGTAAATCAGCTAAGGAAAGTAATCTTGACATAACACAGAGCCTTGCACATGTAGAGGTGTTCAATAATGGTTTACTGAAATGAAATGAGCATGAAAAAAAAATTTTTTTTTTAATCTGGAAAAGCAAAAAAAAAAAAAAAGAAGAAGAAGGCAGTCTGAGGTTGTCTGAAAAATAAAGTAAGAGTACAAAAATCACTGTTCCCTAAGCAAGTCACTTTGAAAAAGAAAATACCTAAGCATTTTTAGAATGATGAATGGAAACTCCCTTCAGCTGGTCTCTAATAATGATTGAGCCTACTCTCAAATTCTTTCTGGAAATGTATCATGTATAAAGTCTAACTGAAATAACTATTTTAAAATTTAACTTAAATGAATGCTGTGTGTATCACCAAAAAAGGAAAAATTACCAAAAGCAGCAAGGAACCTTTTCTACTCTCCATTCAGTAAGAATCAGATGAACTTAATTCATAATTCTTCCATCTACTGTATTTATATATATGAAAATCAGCAGAACTTTTACCTACAAGTAGGTTGTAAATATACACGTTTCACTTTCACAAGTCTGAGTATATATACATATATGAATATACACACACACACACACACACACACAAAATGAAAGACAATCAACTCTCTCAAAAGTGGGCAGTGCCTTAAGAATACAAAAGGGTGGGGCTTGGGTTGTGGCTCAGGGGTAGAGCGCTTGCCTCACGTGTGCCAGACCCTGGGTTTGATCCTCAGCACCACATAAAAGTAAACGAATAAAATAAGGATATTGTGTCCAACTACAACTAAAAAATAAGTATTAAAAAAAATACAAAAGGGTGGCAAAAACTTTATCTCCCATGTCTAAGTAGCTACCTGTGGTAGTCCTTGCATAGGAGAGTCTGCATGATTTTAGAGCTCTTTGGTATTGTAAACAGAAAATCCTCAGAAACATGAAGGGAAAAAACAAGTGAAATATGAAAATACGGTCCTATCTTTCCCACCCTATCCCAAGGATAAGAAGAATCAATAGACATTAGTTTATTCAAGATTTCACAAAGTTATTGCCCATCAGCTCACTATGACACCCATTTTTTTCTTATTTAAAAACTGATCATTTTTACAGAACACAAAAGCCACACCCTTAATAATACACTCAACTCTGAACAGTGCTTGGCTTCTATGACAAGTAAATGTACATTTCCAGAGAGATAGCTGAGGCTAGGTCTCCTGAGCCTATTTCAAACTAAAATTTGTTAAGTGTAAGTTACAGGTCAAATAGCTCCAAACCAATTTCTGAGAAGAGATTGAGGAGAAAAACATTAAATACATCTATTTCTCTTAATGAAATAACGTCTTTCAAGAAACCCATCACCAAAGCTACTGGACTACTAATTTAGAGAATAATAACATTTAATCTGCAAGGCACAGAGTAATATTATTCTTAAATTATTATTTTATTTCTAGGGTGCTTTGAAAAGTAGTAAATTCATGAAGGCATATGAGACCTACTCTCTAATCATGGACAGTATTAAAATTATATTTTTATCTAATTTCTGGAAAGTTCTGCAGTATCAGCTTAAGAAAGCAAACCAAGGGGCTGTGGTTTTGCCTCAGTGGTAGAGCACTCACTAGCCTAACACCAGTGAGGCACTGGGTTTGATCCTCGGCACCACACAAAAATAAAATAAAGATACTGTGTCCACCTACAACGAAAAAATAATTTTTAAATATGCAATAAAAATTTTAAAAAAGAAAGCAATTAAATTTTAATGAGAAAAAAGGTCTAGTAAAAAAAAATCTGAAAATAAACATTAAAGACATTCATAGTTAACTTTTTTTGACTAAGGGGAGGAAGGTAGGCACCAAGGTGTGCAACATCTGCGAGTGGTTAAGGTCGGTTCCTTGGAAATTAATACCTTATTATGTCTCCATTAACAAAGAAAAAGCTTTTAATACAAGGATTTTTCACATCATGCACAAACATTCACTCTTGCAAACTAAGAACTACATGTAAATCAAAACACTTAAAATTATCTAAAGTTATCCAAAACATACTACTTGGAGCCTCAGGGTTTTGTTTTCATATTCTTCCTCAGATCTTAGTTGTAATGCAGTTTTGGAATGGGTCTTCATTTCAATATAAGACTGTTCAATAAGCCATTCCATGTAAATAGAGCTTGAGAGACTAATTCTCAAAACCCACCTCAGGAGATACTTAATAACATCTCCATCTCCAATTTCCTTCGACTCAAACAGCAACATACAGAAAACAGTGCACACACATAGTTAGGAAAGGAGAGGAGTAAGGGTACACAAAAGCGCCCCATTCTTTTGTTTTGGTGGCAAAAGCAGCAAAACTAAAGATTTACCGAAGCCATCCACACCTATCCCCACCCATCAGAGCCCTGCAGACCCTACCATCCATCAGCTCCTCAAGACACTAGCCAGAGCCTGAGGTTGGTAAAACTCATGGTTTTCCACGTTTCAAAGATGGACTAGGGAGGCTGTGTCTGGGGGTACTGATAAAGAGGGCACAAATCCTTTGAGGACAGAGGGACAAGGCGATGCATCTAGATGGGGAGGATGGGACGCGTCACAGAAACCAGGTGGCTTGCAAATTCGTCAGGAGGAAGAGCTCCACAAGGCAGACACAGGATGCTGCCTGTTCAGTGATGGGGACAGATATACGGACAGTGCTCCAGAAGGGGAGACTCACGCTCCTAAGAGACACGAGAGGGCGTGAACTAGGCAGGTCTGAAGTCGGATCCCAAAATGGGTTGAGACAGCCTCAAACAAACCCATACGGAGAGGCTGAGACTTACGGTTACTTCTTGGGCTCAGGGTAAGGGTTGGCTGGACTCCGCACGTCTGCAATTCTGCCTCCGCCGCGGCCACCCCTGCCTCTCGAGCCGAGCCGGTGTCCTGAGGTACCCTCCCCGCCCCACCCACCCGGACAGGCGCCCCTTCCTCGCGCGCCTGGGTGCACCCGCTAAACAGAGGCTGCCGGGGTGCAGGGTGCGCACTGGAGGCCCGCGGAAAGCGTAGCGTGAGCCGAGGGCACCGGGTAGAGGCTCAGACTGGGCGGGCGCCCCCCATCCCTCTCTGGCCGCCGCGCCGCCTCTCTCGGGGGAGGGGAAGAGGGGGGGCGGTGGCTATTGCCTCCGCCTCACGGTCAAGTCCAGCTCATGCTCGAGCCTTGCGCGCGCGCGCGCGCGCGTAGCCCCGGCCGCCCTCCTCCCCTCCCCTGCCTCCGGCTCCGTCGCTTCCGCCGCCACCACCGCGGTCTCCGAGCCGCCCGCCACCAGTCCCAGAAAGCCTTGTAGCCCGGGCCAGCAGCGGGCAGGAACGGTAGCACCTCTGCTGCCGACCCGGAAGTTCTTCCGCCACCAACCGCGAGGCTGCGAGGGGTGTGAACCCGGAAGCGATTTTCTCACCCGGATAGCGGCAGGATGAAAAGATAGGGCCTTTGAACATCTGGGAGCCCATAATTTCTGGAGAAAGTGCAAGAGTGAACGGTGCTCAGGCGCGAGGAAAGGGAGGGACAATAAAAAGCGGGTGCGCAAAAGGTTCTCCGACGCCAGAGACTCGAGCTCTCGGGGTGTGGGGTGGCGAGCGCGAGAGAACGCGCCCGGCGTCTTCTGGTGGCGACCGAGGGTCCTGCTGCTACAGGAAGTGGGGCCGGGCTGCTGTGCCTGGGAGAAGGGAAGGAGGGATGAAAAAACGGTGACGGCACCCCGCCCCTACGGTGACCGTCCCACCCTGGGCGTTGAATGTAGCGGCCCCAGAGACTGTGGGCCGCCCGCACGGGTGAGACCGCTAGGTTTCCTTCGCGGAAACGAGAAGCGAGATCCAGATTCCAGCGAAAGAAAAGAACTCGGAGACCGAATCACCTCCGTATCTAGTTTCTCCAGGCAAGGAATTTCTTTCTACGAATAGTTACTGAGAAGCCAAAGCTACCTTTGAGGTGGAAACTGCGCAAAGAAGCTTGCAGTTTTCCTTGAAGGGTGGTAGCGGTGGTGGGGGAGTGAAAGGCAGAGTGTTTGTCGTCAGGTAGGAAAACCGAGTCGGAGCTTGTCATCATAACTCACTTTCCCTTTCTTCTGTTTTTGAGGCTTTTCGTTTTCTTTCTTTGCTTTTTCTCCATCGTGCTTTTAGCTTCACCAGAAGTCTTTTTTATCTAGCTGGCCTAACTAACAATCTCAGTTCCATTACTTTCCTACTCTCCCAGAGAGCTGTCTCTCTTTAGAGTTTGTTTGCAAGCAGTCTCTGCCCACGGGCACCAAATGTTTCTTCTCTACCTCCCCTTCTCCAGTCATAGTCACACCCCAAAATGCCCTTGTGTATTTTAAAATGATACCACCCCCAACACTTCATTTCTGAGACCTCATTACTTAGTATATTGTTATTTTTGCCTAAGCATTTTCTGGTATTGAGTGGGAAATATGACAAAATGCCACATGTTTCCTGTACATAGTCACTTAAACCGTCATTAAAACTCAGTCTCAACATTTCATAACATATCTAGTTATATCTTCATTATTGTTAGCTCGAGTTGTTTTCCTATCCATTTGTATGTGTTCTCTATCTTTTCAGGCTTTACCTTCATTATTAATATAGGAATATTATTTCCCTAAAAAAAGCCTTTGTTTACTTATTTCATGTCACTAGAAGAATGTATATTTCAAATAGTCAAGTGTGAATATTTCTGGAAAGCCAGTTTTAAGAATCTTTTGGGAATGCTAACATTAAAAAGAAAAAAAAACTAAGTGATGAGCATTAACAAATAAAGCACTTGACTGATTTCTTAGCCTAGGTTGGCCAAGACAGGAATTGATTTGCTTCAAATTCATTTTGGAAAACTAAGAGTTACTTGATTTCTCTTTGTAGATACTTAATGGCAAAACTTGTTTGTGTAATTGTGCCATGTATATTATACAATGTCTTCACAATACATTGTCTTTTAGGGGGTTTTCAGGAGGTGTCCATACATCTCATTCACTTGTATAATTTATGGAAAATGAGTGTGCATTAATCTGAATCATTGTTTCAAGTCATTATTTGCAAAATATTTTATAACCTCATGACTTTTTTATGCCTAAAAGACAGATTCTTAACTGTCATTAAGATCTATGAAAATATGTATCTTCATTTTGAAATTTTTTTACCTTTAACAGAAAGAATTTAAAAGACTATAGGAAAATCTTAAATTATAAGCTAATATTTTGAATAGTTCTGTGATAAAGATACAATCAAAGTTATCTCTGGTTTGCCTTTTAGGTACTATCAAGTCGAAGATATACAAGTAAACATTTTTTAATTGTTTCCAAAGTGATTATTGGAAATAAAAGATTTTCAAGTTGGGATATAATACTCTATTTTTTACTTTGCCACCAATTGTGTCATTTAATCTTTAAGGAATTTTTGTTTGTTTTGTAAAGCAATGGGAAATCCAGAAAACATAGAAGATGCGTATGTTGCTGTTATTCGGCCGAAGAATACTGCCAGTCTCAATTCTCGGGAATACAGAGCTAAGTCATATGAAGTGAGAAAATTTAATGACATTTGATTTTCTACACTGAATGTCATTCTATACTATCATTAACATATAAAACCTTATAATATGTTTTATTTATTTATTATATATTTTAAACCTTATTGATAAGCTGGTTATTCTAGATCTCTATCCATCATTGTCTTTCTTCTGCATGCCTTTTGAGCATTTAACTATTTGATTTATGTGTGTAGGTTATTAAATAGTAAAAGTTATTCCTTTGAGCTTTTCTTACAATTTATATACTTAGATTTAGTACAGTTTGTAGAATGGTTCTCAAAAATGAAAAAACTACAAAAGTCAACTCACTCAAAATGTTTGCGTAAACATTGTTCTCATTTTCCCAGTTTATTTTTAACTATTTAATATATATTTTACCTTAAGTTCTAGGCAATCAAGTGACTTCTCTGTGGTCTTGAATTGTATTACATACATTGGTAAACTTGTAATTCAGGCAAAAATATATCTAACTGAATTATTATCTTTTCTATACAACAGATGCCTAGCACTATGAATTACTTTTAATCTAACCTAATTCCTCTAGTATTTTACTTAAACTGCTCTTTTCAGGTTTTCTGAAACCTGTTAAAGGGTACTACAGGGGTTTTCTGTAGACTGTTGCTCCAGCAACGTTTTTGCTTATTCCTTCTCAATCGTGGCTAAACTGATGAATTACCTGGAAATTTTTGAAACTGTTAGTATCAGAACTCCAGTTCCTAGACATTCTGATTTAATAGGTCTGAGATTAGGGATGGGTGTTGATGTTATTATTCTAAAGCTATTCTACTTTATTACTAGACATATTACTAGAGCTGAGAACGGCTGTTAGCATATTACAGTATTTTAGGTAAGGCACATTTTATTTTAAACTTTCTCTTACTGATATTTTTCTCATTTAAGATTCTATTGCATGAAGTTCCCATTGAAGGACAGAAAAAAAAGAGAAAGAAAGTTTTGTTGGAAACTAAACTTCAAGGCAATAGTGAAATTACACAAGGCATATTGGATTATGTCGTAGAAACCACCAAGCCAATTTCTCCAGCAAACCAGGGTATCAGAGGTAGGAAACTTTTCTTTATTTTTCTTAACTCAGTTTTCTTTAAATACTTGTAAAAATAAGATATATTTTAAAATATACAAAAATCAAAGTTTTTTTTTACATTTGAAGAACTTATAAAACAAAGTTTTTTATTAATTATATCAAGCCTTTTAAGAAGTAATTCAACTATAATTTTTCTCAAAACTTGAAAAGCATTTAAAGAAATCACAATGTTAATGATTTGGTCAGTAGAGAAAGGAAATGAAGTAGTGATTTAAAAACTATGGGCAGGAAATAAAAGAGAATAAAACAATGGCATTTGTAGGTAAATGGATGGTGTTGGAGAAGATAATGCTGGGTAAAGTTAGCCAATCCCAAAAAAACAAATGCTGAATGTTTTCTCTTACATAAGGAGGCTGACTCATAGTGGGTAGGGAGGGGGAGCATGGGAGGAATAGATGAATTCTAGATAGGGAAGAGGGGTGGGAAGGAAAGGGAGGGGCAGGAGATTAGCAAGGATGGTGGAATGAGATGGACATCATTATTCAAAGTACATGTATGAAGACACGAATTGGGTATCAAATTCTTTATATACAAACAGATATATGAAAAATTGTGGTATATATATGTGTAATAAGAACTGTAATGCATTCTGTTGTCATTTTTTTTTAAATCAATTAAAAATAAAAAAACTATGGGCTAGGGTTGTGGCTCAGCGGTAGAATGCTTTGCCTTGCACATGTGAGGCACTGGGTTCAATCCTCAGCACCAAATAAAAATAAATAAATAAAATAGAGGTATTGTGTCCAATGACAACTAAAAAAATAAATATTTAAAAATAAAAACTATAATCAATTACAAATTACATTTGCTGAAAGTTTAGTTTTCTAGGTAAGTATCATTGAACTATTATTTTTATGTTTCTACTCCAGTACAAGAGAAATTATAAACCTCTATCTATAACTAAGTAAAAGTTAACATTCATGGATTATGGGAAATCCTGGAAGTTACCAGATAGCAGGGATTTTCTTTCCATTTGGCCATAGAAATAAGTCCCTTTTCTAAGAGTGAAACTAATGTGTAGACATACTAACCTTGAAAGATTGAGGCACCATTTAAAATATTAAATAATGTATAGACAGTAAAAGTGATTAAAAATTGATGACCCAATTTCTCAGGGTATATCCTTTTAACAAGCAAAAGTGGTCAGAAATTACAGAAACTATAAACTATGCCTAAGGTTCAGGCATCATAATTAAAAAGATAATGCTTGCTTCAATCAAAAAGAAGTTGAAACCAATTGTTAGTGAGATAAAGAGTACCTCTCTGTGTCTGCTTTTGGTTTTTAAAGTTTATTCAGTTTTTTGTCGTTGTTCCCCTGTAGAAATTAGGTGTCTGATTCACCTGTTTTAGTAAAGATTATTTGTTGCAGACATATAGCCAGGTCTTATGATTTGTTAATTTTTTTCCAAATTGTTTTCTAGACATAATTTAGCTGAGCTATAAGCTGTCTTATGACTTTCTGAGGTACCATTCACTTTATTATATGATTCGAATAGGTTACTTCTACAGAAGAACTTTAAGGGTTTTTGTGAGTTGGGACTCTGTTATAACTCAAGATTGTAAGAAGTTCCTCCATAACTTTGCAGATCTTTGATATATATTCTGAATCTCACAAAAAGAATCCTTTTTCCCTGATTATTGGATTTTTTTTTTTAATAAAATGATCTAGAAACCATTTTTACCCTAGGGGGAAAGAAGCAGGATGAGGGAAAAGAGGA